CCAATGTGTTTGGAAAAAAAGGCATTAAGCTGCTGTATAGCAGAGCAAGTTCTCTGAAAGTCCAACGTGTTTGGGAAAAAAAGGCATTAAGCTCCTGTCTAGCAGAGCAAGTTCTTTGAAAGTCCAACGTGTTTGGAAAAAAGACATTAAGCTGCTGTCTAGCAGAGCAAGTTCTCTGTGTTTGGAAGAACAGCCGTGTTGTCATCGTATTCAAAAAGTCCTGCTCAACAAAGTCCTTTCGAAAAAATCTCTTCACTGTGAGCAGCAGTGAGCAACCTCGCAACAGTTCGGTTCTGATATAATCCTTTTGCCAGACTTGTTCAGAAAAGTCCATTGTATTTCAATAAAAGGATTAACTTGTAAAAAATAGTCAGCAGACTGAGTTCTCTGCTGTGAGCGCACCCACAGTGAGGGAACAGTGAGACGGCACTCTCTCTGGAATCTGCAAAATTACACAAATACCGTTCATCCCATCACAATAACAATGGTATAGATAGATTGTTGACAATTTTCTCTATGATTTTCATCTATTATATGTGTATAAAATTTAAGGATAGCATAATAGAAGCAGAAAAACAAGGAGTAGTTGGAAAAACAGACAGGCAAGCTAGAACGGGGGGGTCACGTGATGCAGAGTGTGCCTATTCAAGTCAATGGAGCCATTCAAACTGAATGGAGAAGTACACAAAATATAAATGGCGAGTATACAAAAACCATAGAAGATTCTTGCACCATCAGTAGATAAATTTGTCACGAGTTGAATACAGTTGAAATGGCGTTTCTAGCCTAAAATATGCCGGAAACAATGTTCAAAGAGGTCAAGGTTTTTCCAAGACTTTCCCATTCATTTGAATGGGAGAATTTGAATGTACTAGGTATAAGCAAATTTATATTATGAGGTATTTAGTTTTGGCTTTCTTTGTATCTACAGTTTTTAAGCCCATGTTTATGCACAACACGGAGCAGCTCACAGAGATGTGCAAGGTTAATATCACATAAAGCCTGTGAATCAGTATTTGTTAATAATGTTAATAATTTGCTTTCCAAAGGTCAAAAGGTATTGCATGATTGCCTTGTGTAATGCCCGTGCTTGTACTGTGCAGCTGCCAGCAATTCTTTTCACAGATAATAGTGGATCTTCAAAACGAGGAACCAAAGTGATCATGCAAAGTAGTCTATGAAGAACTACAGACCAGTTAACACAGTTGAAGCAAAGTGATTTTCTTTGTTTCCAGCATGAACACTTGCATAGAGGGAAGTGGGCTCAAAGAATGTAGAGAGGACTCATGAGGTTATCTCAGCACTGTTTATCTGTCCCAGAGTTCCTCTTGTTCAGGGAGTGAGAGCCTTGAAAAAGCTACTCCTCTGCAGCCTGTTTGCTTCAGATGAGTGTGTGAAAAGTGGAGGAGGGGTGTTTGGGACTGTGCATGTCTGTCTTGAAGCTGAAGCCAAGGACGAGAGTTGATGTCTGAATGGAAACGCAGATCTACTGCTCTGCTTTCTCCAGTGCTGGGCCTGATTTTGAAGCTAAGTGCATGTGGCATATAGCAGTTTTCTACAGACTAGATGGCAAGTTAAGATTAACTCAAATATTTGTTTCTTTTCTTTCCTCTGTAGGTTCAGTGCCGTCGTTTTTGATGTCTAATCTATACAGTAGATTTGTAACAGGATTGCTAGAGCATTTTGGAGGTGAACTATATTAAGGTTAAGTAGGATTAGTTAAAGGTTTTCAGTTCAGATCCAATAGTTTCTCCTAAGATTGCTGGAGTATTGTAACTTTATTAGCACCAGTAAAATTAGTTAAAAACTTAATTTTCTATTTTCCTTTTTCTAGGTTTTGAGGTTGTAATGCCTAAGAGGGTGCAGTTCCTAGAGAGTTTTTAAGTTGTAATTGAGGTAAGTACAAGTATTTGGTGTTTTCAGAGTCTGACTCTAAACTATTCTGCTGGAGGTCGGCGACCACCGCAGGGTGCGTAGGAAAGCTGCCTCCATGCTCAAAGACCCCACCCACCCCCAGCACGGACTGTTTGCCTCCCTACCCTCTGGCCAGAGGTTCAGAAGTGTGAAATGCAGGACCTCCAGACTGAAAAATTCTTTCCTTCCCTCTGCCATCAGACTCCTAAACAGCTGAGGAGTTTATTACCAGGAAATACGTCATGTACTGTCGACCTGTACTGTCGACCTGTACTGTTTACATTCTCAGTTTGCACATGCATAATTGCACATTGACTGTTGACTGCTGCACATGCTGCTCTCCTGCAGCATACATTCTCTTATTATATCTTTATATATTATTATATTGCTGCATTTGCTGCTTAAAGTGCCTTAGATTATCTACTTTATATTTCATTAGTATTTTGTGGCATTCATGTTGTGGCATTCATGTGGACAGCAAAGTAAAAATTTCATTGTACAGGGAAACACGTTTCTTAACTGTGCATATGACAAATAAACACTTTGACCTTTGACCTTGAGGGAGTCCAAGTCTGGGTGCATTTGGGATAAAATATTACATTGTGTCACTGATCTATTTTGACACACCCGCTGAAAATTCATAAAAGCGTTCAACATATTATTCATGCACTTTCGTTTTTGTATACAGCCATGACCTAGTACTCCTTAAGTTGACAAACAAGAGGCGATGATGAAGGACCAAATGAAAATCATTTTCACAACTGTCCAGGGATTGAAATCTGTAGCTGAAGAAAAGATAGGTGTTGAACCAAATCTGCTGCCTTTAGCTCATCGCCAGTCTGTTGAAAACCTGGAGGAGCAGCTCCAAACTTTGACCAGTCAACTGAAAGCAGAGGTTCAGGAGTCACTTGAAAAGCCAGAGTGAGGATCTGCCAGATACTGGACTGAAAATGGTTTCCTGCCCTCCAGCAGTGGTCACATTGTACGATTACTGTCCAAGGTTCTAACATTTTGTTTCATAGACTTCAGTTTATAACAGTCTTTCTGTTTTCCCTTGTCAGGTTCACCTCCATCACACTATCGCTCAGTGCCTGCTCTGTGCAACATCAAGCTTCTCATTAAACAAGTTTTAAAGGTATCAGTTTTATTATTTTCCTCCCTTTATAAAAGATCAAAATGCATAATAAAAAGTCTTAAAATGACTGTTTGCATTTATCATTATGGTAATGCCAGAAATAAAGGTCCTCTGATTAATGCTCTCCTTGCCCGGCCTGTCAGTTTAGGTGGACGGCCATGTCTTGGTACGTCTGCAGTTGTGCCATACGCTTTCCATTTTCAGATGATAGACTGAACAGTGCTTTGTGAGATGTTCAAAGCTGGGGATATGTTTTTATAACCTAACCCTGCTTTAAACTTCTCCACAACTTTATCCCTGATCTGTCTGGTGTGCTCCTTAGTCTTCATGATGCTGTTTGTTCAATAATGTTCTCTAACAAACCTCTGAGGCCTTCACAGAACAGCTGTATTTATACAGAGATTGAAGTACACACAGGTGGACTTTATTTATTAACTAGGTGACTTCTGAAGGTAGTTGATTGCACCGGATTTTATTTAGGAATATCAGAGTAAAGGGGGCTGAATACATATGCATGCCACACTTTTCAGATTTTTATTTGTAAAAAAATCTTGAACATCACGTATCATTTTCCTTCCACTTCACAATTATGCAATACTTTGTGTTGGTCTATCACGTAAATTCCCAATAAATACATCTAAGTTTGTGGTTGTAGCGTGACAAAATGTGGACAAGTTCAAGGGGTATGAATACTTTTTCAAGGCAGTGTATATTAAAAGAGAAACAGGATGTGTTTGAAAGGGTTTAGGGATGTTTTATTGCATTTGTTACATGTATGGACCTGTCAAACAGCCACAAAGAGGACTGAGCAATTCATGTTGTAAACACCACAGTTGTTAGGACTTCTTCCAGCGCTCCCTCTCCCTCAAGATCAGGCAGTAAGTCGAGCGGTTGGGTGTACCCAGCAATAAGCCGTATAGCTGTTCACAATCGGTTCACAATCATCAAGCCTTACAATACTTAACCCTGGCATCACCTTTTTGCCAGTTTGTTCCAAGTAACTGCCGAATCTACATTGGCCGAGTTTCTCCTGAGTGTTCTGACTTTTCTGCCTTGTCTTCCTGGTTTCTGCTCACCTTCCAATGTTGCTCCTCAATTGTCATCAGCCCAGCGTCAGCTCAGCTTCCTGCTCTTTCTAAACGTCACACCCAGGCTGCCATCAGGTAACATCAACTCAGCCTTCTTGCTTCGCTCCAACTGCCTCCCGTCTGTACCAGCTCAGCCATCCAGCTTCACTCTTTGGCCATACTCGAGCTGCCCCTATCCACACCATCTCAGCTGTCCCGCTTCACTCCAGCATTGCACCCAAACTGCCGCCTGTCCATCTCAGCTTAGCCCCCTCCCACACACACACTCAGACGGCACACCCCAGTTGTTACCTGCCTACATCCAGCACTGCCTTCCTCCTCCGCTCAGGCGTCTCATCAGTCCCGCACCGGATCAACCTCCCTGCCTGACTCCAGCCCTGCTATCCCTACACCAGCCCAATCGCACTGTCCCCCACCTCACTTTTCTGAGCAACCGACTCCTCATCCCAGCCAACAGTCACCCTCCATCTAAGCCTTGTCCTCTTATTGCTTTGCCTGTAAGAATAAATCTTTATTTGTATTCTTAATCCGAGTCCTGCCTTTTCAATCTTCTGCTCCACCTTGGGAAAAGGCTGATTGGCCTTAACAACATTATGTTGCTCTCCGTGTTTGTCATTTCATTTTGTAATTTCATAACAACTAGAGCATATTAAGGCAGGGAGAGGGAGGCACTTTGATACTGTGCTGAGTATTGATATTCATCCATATTTGATATTTCTCAAGATAAAACCATCAGAAGAATGGCTCAGGATTCACAGCAGACACTGAACTTTGACCTTCTTCATTAGAAATATTCACTCAGTAAACTGTAACCCTGCCTCCCCTCCACCATATTTGTGGATAAGACTAGGGATTAGACTCACAGTCGGATGAGGAATGGGTGGTTGACCTCTGTCAGCACCTCCTTCTCATTGTGGACATGCTCCTCCTGCTTCAGTCGGATCACGTCAGGGATCTTCATCTGCTTCAGGGCGTAGAAGGCCCTGCTCTGCCTCTCTCTGACTAGGAAGACTCGGCCAAAAGTTCCCGTGCCTAGAGCAGGTGAAGAGGGAAAACCAGGGAGGAAGAGGGATTAGGATTAATCACAATGACAGGAATCCAGAACATGCAGACAAACTAGACCATGACAAATATCCTATCATCTGGTGCTATGATGTACTACACTGGCATTCACCTAACAATCTGTGCTGTCAAACTAAAAAGTAAAGATGCTTGGGTTTATCAGGTTAATCATTACTAGTCCATATTAAATTATTTAATCCTAAAGCCTGAAAATTTATTCATCATAAAAACCAATAATGATGTGTAAAAACTAAATCCATAAATATATTCTTTTCATTATCATTTATTGGTAGATTCAATTTTCAATGCAACCATGAATTGTTTTATCACTATTTCCAAAGTGGCCTCTTCAAATCTTTGATTCACAGTGCAGAGAATCAGAGAAACCGAACCTAGTGTATTGGTGGCACTGGCAATTCTGTCTGATAAATTCAAAATGTATCTGTTTAGTCGTCATTTTCTGTCAAATGACTCAGCATTACAATACAGTGCATCCAACCCGTGGCAAAACAGCAAATACAAACTCACTTCAAAAAGGACTGTGTGTGAAGTAGGACTGATGTAACAGATATTCTTCTGTTTCTATTACCTGTTGCAGTACAAATACTGCACAAAATTTTTATCTGGAGGTTTGTTAAAAAAAAAAAGGAGATAAAGATGGAAATGTAAAACTTTAATACTTTTTATTTGCCCAGACTTCTGTAGCGTATAGCAGGCTTAGTGCATTACTCTCGCATAACATCTAGTATGGGCCAATTGATCAGAAGAGAGGAGCGGCTACTAGAGAGAGGAGGGCAGTGCAAATGAGTGAATAACCGGAGAAGTCTTGTTGCTTTTTTCTGATTTATATAAAGTAAAGAGTTCAATGTTTCTATGTTAAGTTACATATATGTTTATATGATGCTCCAAATGCATATGTTCTTGATTGGTTTTATTTCAAAAGAAAGGGGATGTAATGTTCACGTAAACACACAGTGATTTACGACAGGGGTTTACGACAAAGTGTGGAGAGTGGGGAGCGAGATGTAGAAATGGTGGATACGCTGTACATGTGATTCGGGGAGTACGAAATAAAGTTGATGTCTGTTCGGTACGCATTACACGCCTCTTGAATATCAAAACAAAGACAACACAAAAACAAGACAATAGGTCGAATGACTGAACTCAAAACTGCTGCTTCCTTCCAGGAAAGTCCAAACCGGGATCAATGTCCTTCCCTTGAGACGTTGTGGTAACAAAAAAATAAAAGTAACCAGATCCCAACAAGTCCCGCTTATCCAAGAACACGGAAAAAGGAATCCTCCTACCAGTTCGATGGTTCAAAGCTGTTCAGTACACAAAACAGCTCCTTGAGTGGCTCGCCACACATCAGTTACGACCCGTGTGCCATACATCAGTTACAATCCGTGTGTCCAATGTGAAGCCGCCGGATCCAACCTCACACAAAACCCAGCCTTGTAAAAACACAAGGCAGAACAGGAATTAATATGTAATGCAAATACATTCACTAATTAAGTAGCACATGCGGCATACAAATCACACAATGGCTCGTAACATTCGACAGTTTCATTAGCGTTTTCTCACACACTAACTTTAGCATTTATGCTATTGACTTCGCCCCATGCGAATAGGGCGCAGTTCAGATAAACACGCTTCACATCATGTCTTTGTCAGTTTCACTACGTGTTCCTTATGTTAACTTAATATTTGAGCCATAACTCACCAAGGCAGATATCTGTGTTTTATCAAATAAGGGGTAAGTTGTGGTGCTCCAACGCTTGGTGGCCTGCGTCGGTCTCGTTTTCTCCAGTACTTTGTTCAACTCAGTTCTCAATCCAGTCGAATCTCTCCATGTTAGCTAGCTCAGAAGTCAAGTCCCAATTACTTTTCTCCCTCGGTCAATCTTCCAATGTGGTGGGGGTCTTGCAAACTGCTGCACCTGACTTCGTCTCGGTCTCTCCTTCTGGAAAGTTCCAAAATTTCCCTCTTGTGCATGCAGGAGGGCGCCGACAGGCGGGGCTTGATTCAGGTCACAGCTACCATTGGCTCTTATAAGAGCCTATCTTGCGATGCATTCAATGACCAATAGCTTTTTCTATAACTACAAATCCTTTTCCCTGATAACTTACACTTCCCTCTCTCCAGACACTTCCTCCAGCTCCTCCAGGGAATGCTGAAGTGTTCCCAGGCCAGCTGAGAGACATAGTCCCTCCAGTGTGTCCTACAGTGCCTTGCGAAAGTATTCGGCCCCCTTGAACTTTGCGACCTTTTGCCACATTTCAGGCTTCAAACATAAAGATATAAAACTGTAATTTTTTGTGAAGAATCAACAACAAGTGGGACACAATCATGAAGTGGAACGAAATTTATTGGATATTTCAAACGTTTTTAACAAATAAAAAACTGAAACATTGGGCGTGCAAAATTATTCAGCCCCTTTACTTTCAGTGCAGCAAACTCTCTCCAGAAGGCAGGTCCGAGATACTGTTGTGGAGAAGTTTAAAGCCGGATTTGGATACAAAAAGATTTCCCAAGCTTTAAACATCCCAAGGAGCACTGTGCAAGCGATAATATTGAAATGGAAGGAGTATCAGACCACTGCAAATCTACCAAGACCTGGCCGTCCCTCTAAACTTTCAGCTCATACAAGGAGAAGACTGATCAGAGATGCAGCCAAGAGGCCCATGATCACTCTGGATGAACTGCAGAGATCTACAGCTGAGGTGGGAGACTCTGTCCATAGGACAACAATCAGTCGTATACTGCACAAATCTGGCCTTTATGGACGAGTGGCAAGAAGAAAGCCATTTCTTAAAGATATCCATAAAAAGTGTCGTTTAAAGTTTGCGACAAGCCACCTGGGAGACACACCAAACATGTGGAAGAAGGTGCTCTGGTCAGATGAAACCAAAATCGAACATTTTGGCAACAGTGCAAAACGTTATGTTTGGTGTAAAAGCAACACAGCTCATCACCCTGAACACACCATCCCCACTGTCAAACATGGTGGTGGCAGCATCATGGTTTGGGCCTGCTTTTCTTCAGCAGGGACAGGGAAGATGGTTAAAATTGATGGGAAGATGGATGGAGCCACATACAGGACCATTCTGGAAGGAAACCTGATGGAGTCTGCAGAAGACCTGAGACTGGGATGGAGATTTGTCTTCCAACAAGACAATGATCCAAAACATAAGGCAAAATCTACAATGGAATGGTTCACAAATAAACATATCCAGGTGTTAGAATGGTCAAGTCAAAGTCCAGACCTGAATCCATTCGAGAATCTGTGGAAAGAACTGAAAACTGCTGTTCACAAATGCTCTCCATCCAACCTCACTGAGCTCGAGCTGTTTTGCAAGGAGGCATGGGCAAAAATTTCAGTCTCTCGATGTGCAAAACTGATAGAGACATACCCCAAGCGATTTACAGCTGTAATCGCAGCAAAAGGTGGCGCTACAACGTATTAACTTAAGGGGGTTGAATAATTTTGCACGCCCAATTTTTCAGTTTTTTATTTGTTAAAAAAGTTTGAAATATCCAATAAATTTCGTTCCACTTCATGATTGTGTCCCACTTGTTGTTGATTCTTCACAAAAAATTACAGTTTTATATCTTTATGTTTGAAGCCTGAAATGTGGCAAAAGGTCGCAAAGTTCAAGGGGGCCGAATACTTTCGCAAGGCACTGTAGGTCTTCCCCAGGGCCTCCTCCCGGTGAGATATGCCTGGAACACCTCCCCAGGAAGGGACCCAGGAGGCATCCAAAACAGATGCCTGAGCCACCTCAGCTGGCTCCTCTCGATGTGGAGGAGCAGCGGGTTTAATCTGAGCTGCTCCCGAGTGACCGAGCTCCTCACCCTATTTCTAAGGGTGCGCCCAGCCACCCTGCGGAGAAAGCTCATTTTGGCCACCTGTATCCGGGATCTTGCCCTTTCGGTCATGACCCAAAGCTCATGACCATAGGTGAGAGTAGGAATGTAGATCATCCAGTAAATCGAGAGCTTCGCCTTATAGCTCAGCTCCTTCTTCACCACGACAAACCAGTACATCGATGGTATTACTGCAGAAGCTGCACCGATCCGCCTGTCAATCTCCCGTTCCATCCTTCCCTCACTCGTGAGCAAGACCCCGAGATACCTGAAGTCCTCCACTTAAAGCAGAAACTCCACCAACCTGAAGGGAACAAACCACCCTTTTCCGACTGAGAACCATGGCCTCGGACTTGGAGGTGTTGATTCTCATCCCAGCCACTTCACACTCAGCTGCAAACTGTCCCAGCACACACTGAAGGTCCTGGTTTGATGGAGCCAACAGGACAATGTCATCTGCAAAAAGCAGAGACGAGATCCTGTGGTCCCCAAACCGGACTCCCTCCGGCCCATGGCTGCGCCTAGAAATTCTGTCCATAAAGATAATGAACAGAACCGTTGACATAATGAACAGAACCATTGACAAAGGGCAGCCCTGCCGGAGTCCAGCATGCACCGGAAACAGGTCTGACTTACAGCCGGCAATGCGAACCAAGCTCGTGCTCCGGTCGTACAGTGACTGGACAGCCCTTAATAGAGGGCCCCGAACCCCATAGTCCCCGGAGCACCCCCCACAGGGCGCCGTGGGGGGACTGCATCCTCCGTGCTCCTATTCCTGTGGTAGGCAAACAACTGGTGGGGGTCCAGTGTGGGTGGGAGACAGGTCATCAGGCATGCCAGGACCAGGCGCTTGAAGCACTTCATGATGATGAGTGTGAGTACTACGGGGCGGTAGTCATTCAGGCATGTCGGGGTGGAATGTTTCAGCACTGGCAAAATGGAAGTGGTTTGCCATCAGGGCCAGCAACCTTGCGTACACTGATCCAGCTCAGAGCAGCATACACGTCAGTGGAGGTGAGTAGCTGATTGTCTGCGGAGGGTCTGGACTTGATTGCCGTCTCCTAGCTGTCCTGGTTGAAGCGAGCATAGAAGTCATTTAGCTGATTGAGCAAGGAGACATCTGTGGTTGTTGGGGTGGAGTTGCCGGGCTTTTAGTCACTGATGACCTGGATGCTCTTCCACATACACATACACTGAACAAAATTATAAATGCAACACTTTTGTGTTTGCCCCCATTTTTCATGAGTTGAACTCAAAGATCTACGACTTGTTCTATGTACACAAAAGGCCTATTTCTCTCAAATATTGTTCACAAATCTGTGTTAGTGAGCACTATCTTCTGCACCAACTCAGGGTTGCCTGTGGTCTGCATGTCAAAGTGGCCTTGGGCAAGACACTGAACCCCAAGTTTCTCTCAATTACATAGCTTACTCTCGACTGAGAGAACTGACTAGTATTGGTTATAATCGGTCACAAATAGCTGAACATAAGGGATACTTATTATAAAAATGTATGTTATTTATTTGTGATATCAGCTACTGTTGTAGTACTCAAGTCCAGGACTCAGACTCGAGTCAAGCTTGAGTCCTGATTTGGGCACTGATGACTCACAGTTGGACTCAAGCATTGACTGCATTCAGACTTGGAAGTTGGAGACAAGGACTTTTTTGTAATAATAATTTGGCATAAGACTGTGACATTAAAACCTGTTTGCTCCTGCACCATGCTGTATCTGGCACACTTCCATCAAAGCGTATGCTTTATAAATTATTTTTATGTATCAAATCGTCAGGCATTATGGTAATGCAATACACTGTTAGAAAGTTTGGAATCTCAGAATTTGATACAAGCAAACTGGCAAATGATGCATTGTTCACCAATTGTGTTTAATGCAGACCTCGATGGCTTGAACTCGGGCAACCGGGACTTGACTTAGACTAGTCTTTGCTGACCCAGACTTGACTCAGACTCGAGGCATCAATCTCAGTCAGTATCAGGCAGGCTGTGAGAAAATGAGGGCTGCTATTATCAATCTTAACCACACTTGTAAGAGCACTGTCTTCCAATATACTGTTCCTCCAATGTACCACATGAAACTTTAGTTTCTCTGTCTTTTAGGACTAGAAACCTAGTCTCTTATATGTTTTTGCATTTTGGTGATATTCAGTGAGTCCTCCATCTTTACACATATCTATTATCAATAACATCACCACTGCCAACTACCACTGGTTAATGTCTGACACGTGGTTTATATCTGTTGCTTCAAAAACAACAAAGACAAAAATCTGATAATTCATAACCATTTTTTCCAGTTTAGTTCACTCCATTTCCTTAGTTTCCATTAATTGTCATTTCATTTTAATTTTAAATTCCATGCTTTGTTGAGCAAGGGTGCTGATATGTGTGATGGGATGGTAAGGAGGTGGGAGTGGGCATGAAAAATTGAAATTTCTGCAGAAGGAGGCCAATTTTTGATAGAAATCTAGCCCTCCTAAAGTAGAATAACTGAGGGCACTGTGTGGCATCATGTCGTCCTGAGCACAGCGTTGTCGTTTTCTTCCTAAATACAAGCCAAAGCTTTTTCATTTCTGCGGTACTGATGAGTAATGAGAGAGACAATGTGTGACATGAGAACCATTCCGAGTCTGACATGGAATTGCTGCAACTTTCTTTGCTTTAAGTACAATGAGACTGTCTCACTAAACAGCAGCACACCCTTGCTATCAGACAAAAACCTCATATCATATAGATCTATATCTGACTTGAAGTCTTCCACACAGACTAAAGTTAGCCACAAAGTTCCACAGGGCTCTGTACTAGGTCTAGTTCTCTTCACTTTATACATGCTCCCCTTAGGCAATATTATTAGGAAACATGGCATACATTTCCATTGCTGTGCAGACAATACTTATATCTATCTATGAACTCAGATGAAACAAATCAATTGGTTAAATTTCAGACATATCTTAAACACATAAAGGCCTTGATGATGTGTAAGATCTTACTTTGTAGTTCATTGTCTCTCTGCCTAAGGTAAAGAGGTGTGGTTTGTGTTTTAACAATGTTTCACTTATAATGTATTGATCTGAGAACTTTGAATCTATGAATATTTTATCCTAGGATTGGTCTTATGATACTTTAAGATTTGACATTTTTTCAGACAAGAAAGTCAACTTTTAGATTTAGAATATCTGGTCTGTCTATCACAGTAATACGTGGACCTATTTGGAGATTTGCTCCAGCATTTCCAGAGACAGACAAATAACTGAATCCACCTCAGGAGATAACACTCTCAAATCTGATTCTCGCCTACAAAGATGTGCCTATGTGTTCTCAGATTCTGAGTTTCAAACAAATTTGGTTTGTATGCTCACAAACATTTTGGCGGGGATATATTTCCATAGGGACCACTTTACAATGGGCTTGCTCATGTTGTGACACCGTTCTTGTAACTTACCAACTGTGGCAATTGTCTCCAAATCATCCAAGCAGTATATCCGCTGACTTGGAGACGCTTCCCCAACTGAATTGCTGCCGTTGCTTTTACTTTCTTTGGTCTCACTGTTGACTCCGACCTTTGCTTTGGAGGATGCCATGGCTTCTTGTGGGGTCTTCCTGTCTATTTGCGTTTATTAATCTCCAGTTGTATGTGTAGAGTTCATATCAGACATTTTTGGTTAGAAACGGTTTTCAATCCATCTTCTTTGTCTAGATTTGGCAGCGCAGGTCGGATATCAATGACAAAAAGTATTGTGAGCACAATAAAAGCAGATGACGTTTAGAGTAAAAAGCTCCGTGAAATAAAAGATAAGAAGACCCAACGACCTGACATGACTAAGACAAAGAAGCAGGAGACAGGTGTTCTGGCACGTAGCGTTAGCAGCTAACAGTCTTACTATTAGGTTACTCTAGTAAGCTAATGCGAGAAGCACCACAACACGGGGTAGAAAACCACACCAACTCCACAACAACGCTCTATAGAGCTGAAATAAAATACACTTTGAACATCTCACCACCCACCTTTATTCCGCGGCTTTTCTAACTCTGTTCTACTGACTTTGCATAATATTTCCTCTGCTAGAACAACCGACCACAACCGACCGGTCTTCCTTCTTTTAACGTCAACCAGGAAGAGATGCCCAAAGAATTTCCGGTCAGGACTTTCAACATAAACAGTCAAGCCAGCATCATTGAGCACACAACGTCCACGGGAGATTGCCATTGTCTTCTTTCAGGATAGAAATGTTCAAGAAAAAGTCAGTTAATGCTGTTTAAAATAAAGCAACTGGACGTCGATTTAAAAAGTGTAAAAACGATTTATGCTATTCTGGTCAATCTCTTATATTTTCTAGATGAATGTAAGTACCTTGGAAGTTTGGTACAGCAAGGGCTGCATGTTCACAAAACGTGGCCACTGAAAACCAAGTTGCCTGACGTCATCAGAGGCCACTGAGACAGCTAAACAAAGGAACATGCAAAAAACCATGCAAGGTGTACCCCCATGTGCAGTCCAATAAGAGAGCAGGGCCACAGAAACCAGAAACTGAACAGTAATGTAAAAACATGAGAGAAAGCATAGATGCATAACATCAGTGCTCAGTAGATGTGGGACCTCAAGTCAAGATTTCTGTTTGCCATTTATGCATAAACAGACAGTCTAGGCATATAGGAATTCTTGTACAGCTGTCCTTTGGAGTCAGGTAAGGAGTCAAAAGCCAGAAAGAACGCTTAGTCTTAAAATAAAAAAGTTACATAAAGGCAACAAAGCATTAAAAATGCAATACTCAAAAATACAGTAATAGCATTTTCCCCAGTGAACTTCAAACATTGCACTTAGTAATTCACATGGTGGATTTGAATATGTCATTACGCTTGGTGAGGTAGTGAGGGGTTATAACATACTAAAACACAGTTTATATTCAGGTAGAGAATGTCCTGCTATTATTCAGGTCCCACAAGAGAACACTGTTGATGAGATGCTGTTACAAAAATACCCTGTGGAACATTTCTGTATTATTATTGCGCATGTCTAGTAAGGGGTTATTGCACATATATTCTCCCATTTCTCACATTTTCGTATTTACCATCAGTCTTACTGCGGCATGGAAAAAGCTGTTTTAAAGTCTTGTTCTGTGTGTGATGATACTGTCCGCCCTTCTGTGCCTGAGGTTGTAGGTGTAGTTTTTGTGTCTGAGCAGGGAGTGAGCTGGGTGGCGTGGATCCCTGAGTATGTTCTCCACCATTTTCCAACAGCACTGTGTGTACAGTGTGTCGATAGCAGGCAGTTCAGTCCCAGTTATCCTCTTTATGACCCTTTGAAGAGCCTTCCTCTTTGCCTGTGTGGTGTTACTATACCAGAATGTGATGCCAATAGTGAGGATGCTCTCTACCAGTTCTCTATAAGCCTGGTTGAGAGGATGATGGTTCAACCCAGCTTTTCTGAGCCACCTGATGAAGTATAGCCGCTGCTGGGCTGTTTTCAGTGACCAGCTCAGGTCAGATGTCACCTGCAGGCCCAGGAAGTTGTGGCTGTCAGCCCTCTCCACCTCAGTCCTTTTGATGATCAGAGGCAGCAGAGGGGAGGGGTTCTTCCTGAAGTCTACTATTATTTCTTTTGCCTTGTTTATGTTGAGGATGAGGTCATTCTCCTCTCCATAAACAAGAATGTCGTTCACCAAGCTTCTGTAACCCTACTCATCTCCCACCTTGATGAGGCCCAGAATAGTGCTGTCATCAGCATATTTAATGATGATGGTGTTGTCATGGTTGGGGACACAGTCGTGGTTGTACAAGGTGAAGAGTTTGGGGTTGAGACAGCAGCCTTGCGGTGAGCCTGTGCTGATTGTGAGCTCAGCAGACACCCACCCTCCCATTCTAACTACCTGTGGCCTTTCAGTCAGGAAGTCCAGAATCCAGTTACAGGTGGGAGTTGGTACACTGAGGTCTGTCATCTTCATAATCAGTCTACCCAGGTGACCTGAGATTAACGGCAGTCTCCTAGAATAGGAAGCAGTCACCAATCACTGTAGCATCAATGGGTCAAAAACGTGAAGAGCACCCAGCCCATAAAGCCCCAGACCCACAGGCTAAAGCAATGCATAAACACCTAGCAGCCCAGAGGAACCAGATGTTCACCACTAGCAGGTAGATATAATAGACCTATAATAGTATAATTATAATAGTAGGCCTATGCATACTTTAATATGGTAGTTGCTTTCGGTCCAAAATGGCGAACACATAGCTGCGCTGCTTGGTGCTGCCATTGCCAATGGAATGTTCATTTAGCTTTCACTTATTGGCAGTGTAATATCTTGTCATTATTGCAAAATGTATCCTGCTGTTGGTCTACCTATGATACCACAATGACCGCTGTCAGTGCAGTGTGACATGCAGAACAGATGGCAAGAAGAGACAGAGCTGCAGAAAATGGTAACAATAATACTGTGGGGAAAACTGTTTCACGTGATCACAGGTGTAAGAAACATATATAAAGTATTTATTACAGTATAAGCATATGTTTTCAGAACTGTGATTGTCCACCTGCAGGCTAATTCAAAATTCAGCATGATAGTGGCTAATGTTAGAGACCATTGGTAGTGACAGAGCCCTAGGCAGCCATGCAGCCATTAACATCAAACAACAGTTTCTCCACTGTGACATTTTGGGACTATCGTTTTCATAGCTTGTAAGGTACATCAAGTTTTGACATCTTACACCTGTAGCTGTAGTGAAATGCATACATAAACCATGTGGCATTTGTGAGGACAAATCACAGAGGAGTGCAGTGTGTTTTGAAGCAAATAAAAGAGAGAGCAAATAGATTAAATAAATATAAAGATTTCCAGTGAGCCTGCAAGAGCAAGGAGGAATGATAATATGTTTTGAAAGTATTTTCACTGGTGTTGTGGTCAGAGTTAAGTTACTGTACAAGGAAAAGTGCTGCCTGGTTGTTTAAGCTACACAATGTGAAATGTACTGTATGTGAACTAAGTCAAAATGGGGAACGGGACTCATTATAATGCTATTAATTTCTTACAGTCGCCATCATCTTGTTTACATAATTTATGATTTGTTTATCTTTTCTAAGACTGTAATAATTTGGAAATTTGTTGTTGTTGTTGTTTAATTTTGTGCTATTATTTTGAAGTTTCAGGCCAAGGTTGCAGAGATAAACATCAGTAGTGTTTGCTGTCCAGGGACATCATCCACTCAGAAATCCCCAACATGAGACAAACAACTATTCTCCCCACAATACATTAGCTATTCATTCACATTTGCATGGTTATGTCAAGACTCACACTCTGTGCAATGTAAATCAATTCCTGCAGCAGCTGGATAAGACCACTGCAACTTCCCTTTGAGTGACAGCCAACACTAATGTGAATTACTCATTTGCAATGTAAAACAAGATCAATTAGTAATCCAGCATAGAAGGTGCATGCAAAGCACCCCTTAACCTAAAAAATAAAAACCTATTTTTTTTAAATGATCGGCATTGTAGTGTTTTATGTCTAACAGGATTAGATAGCTCTGCAAGGGTTCAGTGGATGGTGAGGCTGTAAATGAATCTGGTTCTCTCTATGGAAAACAAAAGAAACCTATTGCACACTTGCAAACTATTGGAGACCTTTCCTTTCAAGGCCTTACTGATGTCTCTGCAATTGTGTTCAAATCAAATTATTCTAAATGCATGAAGACCTTTGCGCCTCCAATCAAAATGAACCATATTACTGGAAACTGTGTCTGACATTCTTTATTCTTTATTTCTTTCTGGAGGTTCTACTCAAAAAAAACTGGGGTAGGGTAAAGTCATATTAAAAAGCCCATGGCATGCTCATTTCCAGCCATTTAATTTTTAATCTTAGGTACCTCTAGATTAGCTTTGCACTCATCATAACGAGGCTTAGTTGTGAGCGATGTGGAAGCCCTGGGGCCTGTTGCACAAAAGTAGGATTAAGACATCCAGGATAAATGGCTGAGCTAGGCTCAATGAATCCAAAACACGTGAGTCCAGGCTTAATTGGTTGCACAAAGACCAAGCCAGGATGAGCAGACACGGATTCATCAAGCCAGGTGTAACCAATCC